TGTTGTTTTTTTTTTTGGTAGCGCTTAATCTTTATTGGTCATGTTGGTCAGCTTTGTAGACTGTGTACTGATATTTCTCATTGATCTGTGCAGTAAAATGCATGTATTGATATTTTTATTTATATTGCACTGATGTCTAACTTTGGCTTTTTAACTATAATTCTCACAATATTCCAACCAGCATTATGGTGCTAAATCCATCTGTACTTTATCCTGTAGAAAAATAAAGGCTTTGTAATGATTTTCTTTAAGTGCCATAGATAATTAGGCAAAGGTTCCATTTTACCTTAAGTTTCATTTCAACTGTACAGTTTAGAGTACTTCTACACTTATTGAACATGGCTCCTGAATACATTTTGCATGTTTGGGTACGGAATATTGTTGAGTTACATTAAAAAAAACAACTTTATGGAACATTTTATATTTAGCGACACCTGGTAATCTTTATGGTTGCATGACCCCAAAATTACAATTCCACCACTTAGATTGTAGCACTTCTATATTATGACTTGATTATAGGATTATAATGAAGTGTTTAGTACTTTGTAAATATTCAGCTGGTTTGACTTCTTTACCATGGTAACCTGTACACAAGTATTTAATGTTTGCATGCTCATTATATGATTAGGCTAGAAAAAAATCATAATTTGAAACAAAGATTTTTCCACCCATAAATACATGCTGTAATAGCTTTAAAGGGTTACCCCAACCTTTTGTGGGTGGGCACCTTTTCTGTATATGTTCTACTGGGCACTATTATTTAGGTCATCGTCCCCTTGTAAATAAACAATCTTTTTATTTACCTGGAATCCAGCACGGGTCAAAGCTACTGCGCTGACTTACATGCCCCCCTCTCCCCTGGCTTAGTGTATGCTTGCATTCACAAACACAAGTGTCAAAATGTACCAAAGCAATTTGACTTTTTATAATGTTGGGAGATCCAGGTCACTCCTGGCACCATAACCACTACAACGTGCTGTAATTGTTATGGTGCTTGGATAGGTTCTTTAGTTAAAACAGGCTTGTCCTTAATAGAGGATATGGATTTTTGTGAGTAGCTGAAACCTAGTGCTTGTAAGATATATGGGAGAGGGTGAATAACATGCCATTCTATATGAAAGCATTAGATTGACTAAGCTCAAAGTTTGATCTCAGCCAAGGGGGTGGAGTGTTGCCAAAGCATTCGAACTGGACCATGGAGCAATAGAAGCTTTCCTGGTCTGATTTTTTTTTTTATAGAGTAATGGCGGCAGGAGACACTATGGAAAAGTGCAGGCCTGCAAATGTCGTTTATGTGGATGTTACTTTTACACATACAACTTAACTAGAGATTGTTGCAGACCATGTACACCCCTCTATAGAAATATAGTGACGCCAGATAAGAGCCATTCGGCCCATCTAGTCTGCCCAATTTTAAAAATACCTTTTTAATTAGTCCCTGGCATTATCTTAAGTCTAGGATAGCATTATGCCTATCCCACGCATGCTTAAACTCCTTTACTGTGTTAACCTCCTCCACTTCAGCTGGAAGGCTATTCCATGCATCCACTACCCTCTCAGTAAAGTAATACTTCCTGATATTATTTTTTAAACCTTTGTCCCTCTAATTTAAGACTATGTCCTCTTGTTGTGGTAGTTTTTCTTCTTTTAAATAGTCTCCTCCTTTACTGTGTTGATTCCCTTTTTGTATTTAAATGTTTCTATCATATCCCCCTGTCTCCTCCAAGCTATACATGTTAAGATCCTTTCCTTGTGTTATCCTGCAATCCATGAACCAATTTAGTAGCCCTTCTCTGAACTCTCTCTAAGGTATCAATATCCTTCTGAAGATACGGTCTCCAGTACTGCGTACAATACTCCAAGTGAGGACTCACCAGTGTTCTGTACAATGGCATGAGCACTTCCCTCTTTCTACTGCTAATACCTCTCCCTATACAACCAAGCATTCTGCTAGCATTTCCTGCTGCTCTATTGTCTACCTACATTTAAGTCATCAGAAATAATCACCCCTAAATCCCTTTCCTCAGATGTTGAGGTTAGGATTCTATCAAATATTCTATACTATGCTAGGTTTTCATGCCCGAGATGCATTATCTTGCACTTATCCACGTTAAATGTCAGTTACCACAGCTCTGACTGTTTTTCTAATTTACCTAAATCATTTGGCTTAT